CCAAGTAAAGCCCCAAAGTGTTTTTTGGTGTTCTGTCCACCAACACTGCTCTCCTGTGGTCTTGAGAGCAGAGAGCATGTGGGAAAGTCGCTGGTGGGCAACAGGGGCTCTTACCCTTCCTGCCCCAAGGTGTTTCCCAGTCCTGGCCATCCCCTGACATTCATGCTTTCCTAGAGGGCACAGCCCAGAGATTCCTCACAACCCTTTTGTTCCCTACATGTAACTCCCAAGTGTCTTCCTTCCCCCACCTTCTGTTTTGCTGTCTGAAGACCCTTGGCTTTGGAGTGTCTCATGCTGTTATTCCTCCTTTGTCCTGCGGTGACTTTATGATACTGGTACCTCCAATTGTCTGGTTTATGTTATATATCAAGTTCTGCACCTTTAAGACTGGCTCTGAGAGTGAAAGAGGGGGAAGAAGAAGCGCGCAGTTTGTGTTAAAGAAAAACATCACTCCCCCACATCCCGCTCCTGGACTGTGGTGTCTGCAGAACAGACACACTGCAGGACAGAGCTTCTCTCTGACTTTTAGTTAGTTTCAGCTAGCTGGGGCAGAGGAGTTCCCTGAACATTTTTTTCCCTTTTTCCTGGATCTGTGCAAACCTGCTCTGGACTGAACACCCAGCCAAACCCTGGGAGCTCACACCTGTGGCCCACCGGGGCCTGGGCCTCGGCACTTTCCAGCGCCGGAGGGACTGATAAGAACCTGAGCGAGCCGAGCTACACCACATGAAAAGGACTTTTTTTTCCTAGATTTGCCATCCCATCGAACAGCAAGAAGTTTTATTATTTAATATTATTCAATTTCTGTTAAATAAACAGCTTTTTCCACTTCTCTCCGAGGAAATTTTTTTCCTTTCCCAGACCAGTTTGGGGGGAGGGGTCGTTTGAACTTTTTTCTTCCCTGGGGAAACCCCCATTTAGAGTTTTTCTCCCAAGTTTGCCCTAAACTAGGACATCCTTCCATTTCCCCAGACCTCCAGGTCCCTCTGCTTGTCTCCCATCCTTGCCTCCCCATGGCAGATCTGCTCCTTGGCTGTGAAAAAGCATCTGCTGTACTCTGAGGATATCCTGTGTTGGGGCTAATGTGAGCCCTGCCCCAGAGTTGCAACAAGCCAAGAACCTCAGAGTCTCCCCTGCCCATTGTCAAAGAGCCAACAGAGCAGTGAGAGCAGCCCCCAGGGGTTTGTTCTGTCCCATAAGCTTGTAGATCTGTCCACAGGTGAATTGGGTGTGCGGCCTCACCAGGCATCCTTTCGCCAAGTCATGCAGGGCTTGTTAAGAAGATTGCTGATTGGCTGACTTTTTTGCACAGGTCTTTGAGCTGTCCTGGTCATCCCCTCTGAAATCCCTGAAAGGGTTGTAGAGAGGACAGGCAGAGTGATGGCAGGGAGTCAGGGCTGGAAGCATCCCACTGGCCACTGCCATCTCAGTGCTATTTGCAGGAAGCATCTGGATGGGAAACTACAGCCCAAAGGTGATGCTGGGGGACATGTGTATTGCAGAGATCCTGGGAGATTGCTGCTTACCTAAGAGTGTAGAGCAAGACACAACTGAAGATTTATTTGGATCTGCTGAAAATCACTCATGGTGACCTCAACATTAGCAACACTGAAGTCAGTGAGTATTAGAGACAGAGTAGGAATTGGAATCTTTTGAATCCTTCTGAACCAGATCCTCAGGTTCATCTTTGCTACTTCAGGGCAAAGCTGTGACTTGCTGTTTTTTCTCCCTTATCTCCATTTAAATTAGATTGACTGTGTTCACTCAGCTAGAGGAGATCCAGTGGGGCCCTGGGTCCCATAGGCTGCTGTAGCCTCAGTCCTTGTGCTTCACCAGGACTGGGAATGTGATGGGAGCTGTGTGAGGCTGCCATGGGCTGGGAATTGCAAGGGGAATTGAAGCAGCTGAATTGTTTTCCCAGTATTTCCCAATGAAATTAATGCAGCCAGGCCAGATCCCACCACAGGGACTGGCTGTAGCTGGAATTTGCTGAAATTCCCCCTTTGCCCTTTCCAGCTCTGTAGCTCAGAGGTAGAAGGCAGACCACCACCAGACAGCCTGGGGAGAGCTGTCCTGACGGCTCCTGTGGCTGTCAGGTCTCCAGGAAGGCAGCAGCATGGTCAGTGCTCCCTGAGGAGAGCCCAGGGGTGAAGGTGGTACCCTCATGGTCTGTTTTGATGGGGTGGATTTCCCACAGGGATCATTAGCCCCTTCTGATTTCCACTTTAATTAACAACTGCATTACCAAGGTTTCTGCAGGCGTGAGTGCTCATGCTGTATCCTGTGGTGTCCTCAGGGCCGGAGCTCCAGTGCTCCCTAATTGCTCAGGAAGAGGTTTAAATGAATCAGTGCCAACAATGCTCTTCCTTCATCCCCACCAAATCTTCTGCCTGTTTGTGCCTCTGGGGACCCTGGACCCTGAAGCATCCCTGTCTTTCCCATCTCCACCACTTCTTCTGGTCCCCGAGGCTCAGTCCTGTGAGTGGGATGGGTGACCTTCCTGAATGCCACTGGGATGCACTTCACAGATGACCACACTTTTCTTAGAAATCTTACTGACCCCAATAGAGGGGGAAACACACCACATTCCCCTTTCACAATGCAAGTGGAAAGCCCCTTTCCTCACTCTGGTGTTCTTCCTGGGGAGCAGAGGCGTGTGAAGCTGCTGTGCTTTGACCCACTTGGCTCCCTGACAACTGTCATGAGGAAGAACAACCTCCCTTTCCTGCCTTTGTCATTGGCAGGGGTGGTGGGCAGCTCGAGGGATGGGGGTCCCCTGCAGCCAGAGGTGGCTAAGAGGTTTAGTCCCAGATGGATATATTCCCAACCCAGCACACTCCTTTTGGTGTAGAGGAAGTTGGGAGCCAGCAGCAGGCGGGAAAACCTTGTGCCAGGGAAGTGGTGTCTGAGGACACCCGTGCTTGCTGTGGGTGCAGGACCCAGCAGTGCCTGGAGGGGAGTCCCACAGCACGGGACTCCCAGCACCCCCTGACAGCCCTTGGTTGTGCTCCAGGGTCTGTCAATCACACTAAACATGCAAGGAGGTGACGGTTTGCTGCTGGGCAGCCCCCCAAGCACCCCTTGCCAGTGGGTCAGGGCTCTGCTCTTGGGACTCACTCTTTGCAGAGGGCCCCACACTGTCAGACCAACCCCCAGTGAGGAGCTGGCTCTGGATTAGGAGCAGTTCTGGCCACCAGCAACCAGGAGCTGTCATCCTCCCTGCTGCAACATTTCTTTGGCAGTGTCCTGAGGAGATTAAGTAGAGACCAGGTTGCAAAAGCAGCGTACACCCCCAAACCTGTGGGGAGCCGGGGGCTGATGATGGATGCTAATCCTTCACTACCTAAACTCGCCTGCTGCTGGTTTGTGAGTGTCAGCAGGTGCTGATTGAAGTTAAGCTGGCACATCCTGTTTGTGCTACTCCTCCTGCCCACCAGCCCTCTCCTGATTGCTTCTCTGCAGCACTGGCTTGCTGGGGCATGGGAGCAGCCAGAGGCAATTCTTTCCTGATGGAGGAGATCACCCCACATAGGAGGCTGGTGCCAGTGCCAGTGCAGGGGTACAGCACCATGTCTGGTGGCATGGCTGGAGTCTCCTTTTGCTTCTTACCATGGAGTGGGGAAGGGGCACAGCCTCTCCTGCTGCTGAGAGGAGCAGAGGGACTCATTGAGATCCCTGGGTGCCAGCTGTGTGCCTTGTGCCTGGGTAGATATTTATCCACATGGAAGGGGTCTGTACACTGTTCTCCACTGAGGTGCAAGGACAGTCCAAAGCTGGAGCAAAGGGAAAGGTGCAGGCATAGAGACTCAGCTCCAGGGTTTGTTTGCCCCTGTTGCAAAATATTTTTCCTGTTGTTAGTGGTAATTTATCTGGGTGCATCTGATGCCTTCATGTTTGTCCTGCCCCTGGGCACCTCAAAGGAGACCCTGACTCTGGCATCTCCAACTCCCTAGAAGGCAGCTGCTGGCAGCAGTGAGCCTTCCATCCTTTCCCTGGGCTGCAGAGCCCCAGTGCTCTCTGCCTCCCACAGGGGACTGAAGCAGCCTGGTTTAAGGGACATCACTGCAGGTGGCACTGGCACTGGCACGGTGGTGAGTCACCATACCAAGGAGAAACAGCCCCCGTCCCTGTGCTCCTGTGAAGATTCAAAGCGGGAGCGCTGGTCCTCACTCTCAGCAGTGCCCACGCAGCGGGTGAGCTGCTGGCACCCTGAGCTGTGCACACAGCCTCCGTGGGGGATTTCTGCTCTTGCATGGAGAAAACCTGTTTACAGGAAGCTCTGTAGCTGCCTTTGGCCAAGAGCCCATTTCCCGGGACACCTGGAAATCAGGTTGGCTTTTGGCCTGTGAGATCTTGGTCCTGGAGTAGAGCGTGCTGGCTGGGCACTCCTCTCTCTGCCAGCTTCGGATGTGCCCCCACGCAGGCACTGGGGAGGGCAAGGGGAGAAAGCCAGGCTTCAGCAACCAGACAGGGAGACTCTGGGGGGGACACAGTCATCAGCCCAGTACCAACATATGCCCTAAAAATGGGGTTGAGGCAAGTTCTAAGCCCCATAGCATCAGAGGGTTGAGACTATGCGATATCTAATGTGAATGTCCCATGGATGTCTCAGTGAAGACACTGGGAAATGTGTGGGGTGAGAGCCCCCCCAGGTGCCATCCCAGAGCCCTGGGGTGCTTTCACAAGGTAAAGGGACCCTGGAGCTGCCTGGTCCTGACCAGCAGCACATATGGCCAGAGTGCTGGCAGAGAGGGCAAAAGAGTGTTTGGCTATGGGACCACAGAACAGCTGGCTGCAGGGAAAGCAGCTGCTGGGATGTTCGGGAACTGCTCAAAGATTAGAATCCAGCCTGTTGTAAGACTTGTTACAACTTCCCAACCTCCAAAAGAAAGTGAAAGCCATGGGCTGGAAGGATATATAAGCAGTGGGGAGCAACAGCAGCAGCAGCAGGGCTCAGGGAAGCTGTGTGGAACTCGCCTCTCCTGCCTGCAGCTCCATCGTCTCCAACCCACCCTCTGACAGACTCAGCAGCAAAATGCAGCGGCTGCATCTTCTCTGCCTCAGTCTCCTGTTACTGGGACATATCCTAGATGGTAAGAGGGGACCTCTTGGGCTGTCTTTCCTGCAGAAATGAGAGGATTCTGTTTCTTCTCTCTTTTGCACTTCCAGCAGACTTTTAGAGGGACACATGGCTGCCACTCCATCACAGCCCTCCTACATCCTCTTCTCGTAACCTGTCCTGCTCAAAGTCTGGACAGGAGCCTGCAGGGCTCTGGGGCTGGGAAGGCATGTTTGGGAAAGGCCGTGGAGCAATCCTGCCTCCCAGTGCTCTAGCCCAGCTTGCACACATTGGGCTGGGATTGTCTTGGTCCCATTCTCCCCAGAACATGAAGGGAACATTCCTGTCACCCTGTGGTGTAGGGCAGCCTGGAGGCAAGTGGCAGGGCTGATGTTTGAGGGGCTGTTGGTGTTGGACGTGGGGTTTGCACGGGTCACAGCTGTCTGGGTGGGTGACATCAGAACCTTTACCTGAGGTGGGGAGCTGGGGCATCCAGACCCTTTGTGGTGCTGCACCACACCTCACTGCTGAGGGTCTGACCACTGACAGACGTCCGTGGGTGCTGCCAGCCTTGTCAGGCGTTATGTGAATACAGCATTTGCTGGGAGGGTGACTCTGGATCTCCTTCCCTGCAGAGAAGCACAGACAGCTATGTCCTTCAGCTGTCACAGGAATGATCTGTGTGGGGTGGGCTGGTGGTGGGGTAGCTGCCAAACCTGTGATTGCTTCAGTAAATAAAGCTGAAGTCATACCCAGCCCCTCAGAACTGCGTGTCTGTATTGCAGCACCCTGAAGCAGGGTAAGGACCCGCATGTCCTGCCTTGCTAGGTGGGGTGCAGGAGGGACACAGTCGTGCAGAGGAGTTGCCTTGTGCCTGTTCACTCTTTCTCATCTCCTTTGCTTTCTGTCGGAAGGAGGCAAAGGGCTCCCAGCACTGGGGTGTGAGTGCAATAAAGCTGGTGCCTGTGTGCCCAGCCAGGGCAGTGTGTGACAGCATTCCTGCAGGCACCATCCTGCCGCAGCCCCTTCACCCTCTGGGGAGGCTGGGAGAGGTGCAGCTGACCTCAGCCTGCATGGTGTGTTCCTCCTCCAGTGCACAGTGGGAACAACGTCCTGGACTGCTGCCTGCGGACAAGCGAGACACCCATCCCGAGGCGGATCGTGCAGGATTACCGGCTCCAGCTGGTGCAGGACGGCTGTGACATCCCTGCTGCTGTGTAAGAGCAGGGTGGTGATGGCTGAGGGACAAGGCCTCGTATTGGCCAAGGGATGGACCTTGCATGGAGGAAGGGTTGAAGGCAGAGCAGGACGGCAGAGGGAGGTTGAGCTGGATTTGGGGGTGAAGGGATAGGGAGAGCTGCAGAAGAGATCCTGAAGATCCAGAAGAGGCTCAGTGGGAGGGGGAGCAGCTGAGAGGGGATAGCATGGGACAAAAGCCTGGGAAGAAAGTCATCTACAGGCAGAGATGGGGGAGGGCAGTGAGGTAGGCAGCAGGTGAGAACTTGAGCTGTTCTTGAGCATGCATGGGATGTCTGCTTACTACATCTTGTTTTTTTCCCTCATGGACATGGCAGATTCATCACCACAAAGGGCAAGCGCCTCTGTGCACCCCTCCGTTCCCCATGGGTGATTCGTCTCCAAGAAAGGCTGGATGCTGGCTCTGCCAAGAGGGTAAGAACCATCCCTGCTCTCAGCCAGGCATGAGATCAGCCCAGAGGGTGGGTTTATCCACTGCCAAACAGGCTTCTCCCATTGTGACTGGGCTGCTGGGAAGAGCAGGGGCATGCTCTACTGAGGCATGGATAATTTGTCTTGGTCTCCATCCCTGCTGCCTCAAACTGGAGCCAGTCTGCCTCCTTGATAGTCCCTCTTCCACCCCAAATAAATGCAGTTCTGGGGCTTTTGTCTACCCAGTGCCACTCTTGTCTGAGCCTGGTGTGTGCCATGGCAAACGGCATTGGGAGCAAAATCCCTCCCCGTTCTGTCCCACAAGCCTGGAGTCTGCTGCTTTTGCATCTTCGTGGGGAGGGCTTGTGATGAGTTTGGTGGGTGCTTTACAAGCCCTGATAGGTCCATCACTGCCATGGCTTGTCCAGCAGAGGAAGGGACCCCGGGGAAGCTCATACCCCAAGGAGCACACTAACACCAGTTGGGTTTTTCACCTCCCCAGGGCAAACCCCAGGGCAAGTAGGTCCTGAAGAAGCCATGGCTGGTCCCAACAGCTGGAGGGGACCACCTCCCAGTGAATCTGATGCTAATGGAACCAACCTGCTTCCACCTCCAGTCTCAGGCCAGACCCTTCTTGAGACTCATACCAGTGTGTGGGGCTGGGCAGAGCCCTGTCTGCTCTGTCTTTTTCCCTCTGCCTCCAATGTGACCCAGCAGCCTGTGTCAAGCTGAGCCAGGGGCTGCTGGACTCCACCACCTTTGCATCCTGGAAGCTGTTTGAGGGACTGATCTGCGAGGTGAGCTGGGGAGTCTCAGACTTCCCATCAGCACAGCAGCTGTGACCTGCGGCTCTAGTCTGATCCCTTTGGTTTCCATTGTCAGCCCCAGCCTAGAGTCCTTCTGCATCCCTGGGATGGGCTGCCAGCATAGAACAGTGTGGGGATGGAGGGAAGTGATGGAGATGTTCCACAATGGTCATACATTGTGCTGATCCTTGCCAAGCACATCCCAGATGCCCTCAGAAAATGTGTGGCTGATGTGGCTCCTCTCTCACTCCTGAATTCCCTGCACTGTTTCCTTTCTGCCCTTCATAGCAAGGGTAGAAATAGAGCCATTAATGTGGAGCAGGCAGAGATGTGGCTCTCAGCCCCAGCTCTCCTCCAGGACATTGCACTCTTTCTAAGCCTGACTCACCGTCCAGCCCTGCCCCATGCCTGTGCCTGGAGGTCATGCTGCTCTCAGGTTATTTGCTGCTATTTTTGTTCATGGCAACAATTCCATGTGTATGCCTCTTTTTACTCTTTTTTTTTTTTACCGTGCTGTGATTTTGTTAAATAAAAAGAAAAGCCAGCAGGTAGTTGTCATGCCTCATGTTTGAGCCTGAAAGCCAGTGTGGAGTGTGTGGTGAGCAGACAGCACTGCTGCAGTGGCAAGGGGGCTGTGCTGGGGTGTGGGGAGAAGGAAGGAGGGTTCATAGGGATGAAAGATACAGCAGCTGGGCTGCAGGTCTCTCCTGGGAGTCTCTCAGCACCACAGCAAAACAGGCACCCTGCTCTGCACTGCTCAGCCAGGCTACAGGAGCAGGTCCCTGTAGGAAGGTGAACAGGGATGGGGTAGGAGGGAGCACGCCAGTATTGCACCATCCAGCCCCAAATGCTTCAATCCTGCCAGTGCAGATACTGGGTTGGAGCTCCCCAGCTCTCAGCTCCTGGGAAATGGAAAAAGTGCTGCAGGAACAGGGGGTGTGTTCTTGCAGTACAGGGAAACTGAGGCACAGTGTGGTTGATTACTCTGGCAGGTCAGTACTTGCTGGCAGCTGGGATGCAGATAAGTAGAAGGATAAGCTTTTGGGGCAATGGAGGCTGCTGAAGACACCTACTCCTGGGTACATCCATGGATAAGGCACAGATGGCAGCCTCCTAGCTCCTGTCACTCATCAACAGTAAGCTGAGAGCCTGTGACCATTTCCCTCCTGAGCCTCAGGTCTGATGTGCACTCTGAATAAGGTCTTGCTGTCTCAAAGTGCTCTGATGTCCCCTTTTGTCCAGGCCATGGGATGTTTGATCAAAGCTGCTCTGTCCAGCATTTGTGTATCCGACAGCAGGCACCATCCTCTCTTCCCAAGCACCTCTGTGTCACAGTCTGCATCATTAAATTAGTCGGGTTTGATGACAGTCAGCATGCCTGGGCACAGGTTGGGAGTGAAATGGCCCAGGATTATTCCTGAAGGTGGGGGGGACATAGCCACCAGCCCTCAGGGGATGGCATCTACGGTGGTGCAGTGGCTGGGCTGTCCAAGCCAGGGAGTGCCCAGGTACCTGATGACTTTCTGCTGATGCCTCTTGAATGCAAGCTTAATCCTGTCCCTTCTTCTCCCCTGGTTGCCTGGCTCACTCAGCTGGTGGCTTGTTTCTCTTTCAGGTGTTCTCCCCTCTGGGGTCCTCCTCCCTGGTATCTGCACATGCAATGCCTTGGGCTCAGATGTCTCTGAGTGTGACTCTCACAGAGCACCAGCTCTGTCCCAGATCATTAACTGTAGTGACAGCCCCAGCAATTCAATCCTGGGTAGCAGAAGGAAGAGAAGAAAGGCTGGTATGGGAAGAGAGGCCAAGACAAACAGTGTGAGTGGGAAATGAGGATAACTGGCGCTGGCTTGGACAGAAGCCTTCCTGCTGCTCGCTCAGTGACCTGTGAGGGGGCCATGGCTGGGGAGGGGGAGGATGCTTGGCATGGATCTGCTCTGAGGCTGAGCTGCTGCAGCTGGAGCAGGTCCCTGCAAAGGGCAGGGACTGCAAGAGGGGCTTAGCCTGGGGTGGATCAGATTCATCCTTGGCTGCAGGCTGCCATGACAAGGAGAATAGTGTCCTGGACCAGGGAAAATGAGGGAGAAGGGGCTTGCACTTGGATGTTGGAAGCAGATTTATCCATTTCCATGAGTTTCAGGGATGTTTTAGCCAACCAGCCTGTAAGAGCATGGTTGCAAAGCCCAGGGTTCCCATCTCTCCTGGGAGCAGTAAATGTGTTCTCCTCAGAGAAATGCAGCTGCACAACACAGATCCCTGCTAGGTCCTTGCCTGCCATGGTTCTCAAGTGGATAGTGATCCAGATCCCAGCTCTGGCAACAGACTGCTCTTACCCCACAAGGGGAGGACAAGAGGAGATACTATCCTGGACCAGGTATGTGGTCCTGGCTCCTGTCCCTCTTCCAGCCCTGCAGCAGCCTCTCCCCCCACTCCAGAGCCCAACTCCTCTTGGAAATCTGTCAAAACCCAGACTGGTTCAGTGCTTAGTATACTAGGGAGTGAATTTCTCTGATTCAAAATGTCAATGATCTCTTTAGAAGGAAGCAGCCACTTTCCTTAGGGAAAGCAGTTAGTCACTGCCATGTCAAAAACCTCAGTTCCCAGCCCAAAGCTAGTTTCAGTAAAAAAGTCCTCCTGCTTTTCTCTGCCCAGATATGTTTTTCTCGCTCTTTTCCTACCCTCGCTTCATCCCCAGTGGTGTGTGGTGCAGGATGATGCAGACATACCCTCAGTATATACCCTCAGTATATACCCTCCTCATAGCTCAGGAGTTACGTGCAGGGATCACTTTGGCTCTGGAACATTGGCTGAATCACCTCTGGCCCTTTATTCAAACCTGGGGACCTGTATTTTACATGTTTTGGAGCACCAAGATGCTGTAACTACAAAGCTCCTTTCACAAGGAGCTGACAGAACAGCCACTCTCTCGGTGACTGTGCACAAGGCAGGAGAGGGAGGACAGGGCTGCATCCATGCAAGCAAACTGAGCATTGGGTCACTCACAGCTGGGATCATGAGAGCACTCCTGAGTCTGCCTAGCACGGTGAAAGCAGTCTTGGATGCTCCCCAGGCTGAGTTTAAGGGGCACCAGACACAGCAGGCACAATCTGCTGCGGTCTCAAGGTCCGACCTGGCACAGGCATACGCAGCTGGGAGGTAGGATCAAAGGTTCCATGGAAAAAACACCCATCTGCTTCTCTGCAAGCAAGGCACCAAGGGAAATGCGATGTTTGGAAGGGTATTTCCTGGAACTGGTTTTGTCACTTGCCTCCAAAGAGATGGTGTACAGGGACTTTTCTGTCACCAGCATCCCCCATGTGTTGCACATGCTGCTCCTGGAGTGACAGGGGAAGACCGACTGCATCCTCCCCACATGGACTTGCAGGCAAAGTGAGCAACAGCACAGGGGCTAAAAGATGGTTCCCCTCTCACAACCTTCACACAGCTTCTTCATGTGACTCCCTGGTGCACAAGAGTCCACAGGAGTTGTGGACATGCCCTGGGCACATTTGCCAGTGCAAGGGACAGTTGTTCCCCATTCTGGTGGCCTCCACCCAATGGTGCCAAGGCAAAGGGCTGCTCTTCCTTGGCACAAATTTCAGATCCAGCTGGCAGGGGCCCAGGGACCTGTCTGGGTTTATGTGAGGAGATGGGACATGCAGATGGTTGGGAAGGGTGGGAAGCCAGGTGAGGAAAAGCCCCTTTAGTCTTGTTCCATTGTACAGTTTGCTCTTGCCTAAACAACATGAGTGGATGATGGAGAGGATCCAGACCTGGCATCTCTCATCCTCAGGCCCCTGCTTGCTCCCCCCTCACTTCCAGCATATCATCACCACTGCTGCTTGTCTGGACACTTTCTGCCAAGAATTGTCCTGTGGGAAGATGCCAGCACTCCTAGCCAAGCTGTGTGATTCCAATAAAGAGCTGGTGCTATTCCTGCCATGCTCCTGCAGCTGAACTCTCCCTGGTGGTATTGCCCAGCCTGCACCTCCATGGTCTGATCCCCAGCCCTGGAATGTGGGACCAAGGTGTTTTTCCTGCCCTGAGCTCCTGGAGTCAGATTGAGCCCAGCAGCTGCCTTACATGGAGACCCCCGTGCCTCGACAGGACTTGACTCAGCTTTGTGTTTCTAGAAGAAGCAGGAGCTACAGCTCATTGCAGTGGGGGCTGAGCCACGAGCCAAGCACAACTCTGCCCAGGTCCCAGGGCTCGCTTGGAAAGGGAGGGGAGACCCATCCTGCACCCATCTTCTCTCTATGCAGAGAAGCACTAAAAACTGGAGATAAAGACAAAACCAGGGGGGAAAGCAGAGGGAAAACTTAACGTGCTGGGAGAACACTCTGGAAAGTACCATTACCCATCCCTCCTGAACAAGCAATAGGCAGTGGCAGGAGGCTTAGTGTCATTTCTGTGGCCCTCCCCACCTCTCCCTCCTGTTTTCCTGCTTAGCTGTGCCTCTAGGTAAGGCTTTTTTCTGCTCCCCACACTGTGTGCTCAGCCACAGAAGGCTGGGGGAAACCTACCCTCCCTTCTTTTCTCAATTTCTCTGCCACCACAGCAAAATGGCCTGGATTCAGGGCAAAACAGGACTGCTTCTGTCAGAGACTGAGGTGAGAGGTCACCACCAGCTCAGACTGCAGGGATGGAGCTTGGGGGAGGCTAGCAAAGACCTGGTTAGCCCTGCTTGGGATGAGAGGGACAGCAGTCGGGCGAGCAAAGACGAGAAGATTTTGTACTTTCTCATGAATCTGTGAAATTGGTGTGCACCCTGAGGCTGGCTGGGATGCATTATACCCATAAGCATGAGAAATCTTTCCTTGTCTATGGTGAAAAGGGAAAGCCAGAAGATTGCTGCTAGTAAGGCAGACCCAGGGGCTCTTCCTGGAATGTTGCTTCAGATCTAAGCACAAATCTCTAATCCTGGTGTCTCTCTCTGTCTCCTTGGCCCCATGCTGCCCAGTTTCTGCCCCCTTTCTTTGGATCCTTCTGCCCTAGATACATTTTACTGGCATGGTGACTATTCTGTGCCTGTCCAGAGAATTTGGCAGCTGTGCTGTGTCAATTTGCAGATTTGCAAGGTGTGGTGTTTCCTGGTTTCAAGCTTCCTGGCTTGGGAGGTTCACCTGCTGCAGCCTTTAGTTGTTCCTTGCTCTGAGCATATCTCATTCTTCCCCACTTTCCCACAGAAAGCAATATTTTATTTCTTGCAGATGCTATGTCTGGGAAAGCCCCTCTGCTGAGATGTGCACAGACTGTCCCCACACTGCAAGCCCACAACTCTGTTTACATGGACGCTCCTTTATCCTGTTTAAATTATCAAGTTGTGACTTTCTGCGCTCTGTGGGACGGATGATGCTCTAGAAATGTGAGCTGAAGAGGTGGTCTTTGGCAAATAAATCAAGTGGTTTCC